CTGATCTCGAGTTGTATCTCTCGTAGGTTGCTACTCCTCCGTTGTTCAGCACCACGAGGTTTCTCCTAACTACCATATCCGTGACAAGACAATCTCTATCCATCCACCATATTGAGCGAGCAGCGCCCATGCAGTGAAGATCGGCAACATCATCACTGCCACTGCCACGTGTACATAGCCAATTGCAAACCGCGCGCTCTTCTAGATATATTTATTCCAGACTAGCAACGCTTCTACGCAGAGGAAGCAATCGAGCGAAGACGGCTCACCCTCGACAACATCCCAAGGAGCCTATTCCGCAGAATCCTCTCGGAGAGCAACCGCCGCTTATGGCAGCAGCATAAGCTACTACCGGAGGAGGCGCGGTTCCAGGGGCTGCCGCCCTCGGACGAGGAAATGTCGGACGAACAAATGGACGACGCGGGAACCTCCAACACCAACGACGAGATATCCCGAAATGCGCAGCGAAACCTACGCCGCTCCCTCGACCCCTCCCCCGACTCCTCACCCGACCAAAGTTTTCCTGGCGGATGACGGCTTCCGTTTAGTCACAAAAGGTGCCAAACCCCATCCTCCACAGGAAAATCATTCCATCGAAACCACGAACCCCTTCAACCCTCTCTCACAACCAGACCCGCAGCAAACAGACCCCGGAACCTCAGAAGAACCCAGCACACCCAACGAACCACCATCTGGCCAACTACCCTCCCAACAAACGACAAAAGCGAACAATAAAGGACGAATTTGACTTTTTAGAATTGACCTGACAACAATCCTCCACCAACGGAGCTGATCAAAGAACGTATGACCAATTGCAACCACCATCTGACTGCCAAATGTACCCGGACAGAACTACTAATTCAACCACTCACTGTGACTGCCCACGGGAAGATCAGGGACCGCCTGGACGAGATCTCCAGAGACCCGGACGAACGAGACAAATTTGTCATCAAAGGATTAACGACCAAATACGACCTGACCGCCATCAAGAACAATTTGACCACCCTCAAAATTACCACTTACCACATCACTGAAATGCAACAACGAGACGCTGACAGGACATTGACCCCAATAGGCTTATACACGGTGGAGACCAACAAAAAGGAAATGACAGATCAAGAAAACTTTACGTTACATTGACTACTTCAAAGTGACAATAGAAGACTATAAAATGACAGATAGAATACCCCAGTGCAGAAACTGCCAAAGACTGTAGCACACAAAGGCCTATTACAGGAGACAAGCGACTTGCGCCCTCTGCGCTGGCTGCCACCCAACAGAAGACTGTCCCTCCCACACATCCAACAATCCATTTACCCCAAAATGTATCAACTGCTCCCAAAATCACCCCGCCTACGGCCCACAATCCCCTGTAACAGTAAAAGCCAGAGAACTACGGCACATACAGTTGACCAAATCATCAAGCCATCCACCTTAACCCTTTCCTCGTAGAACGCGCGAGGCGGCATATATCAGAAAACACCCATCCTCACCCAATTCTTTAAAGACTACTCCATCGGGATACTATTCTTACAAGAGACGTGGCTGACACCCGACAGATCATTTTCCATTCCCAACTACATCACAACCAGATCCGACCGAACC